CTCGGCAGATGGCACCTGTCTCTGGGCTTACGCATGCAAACACGGCAGCGCATCCATTTCGCCTTCGAGAAGGGTCGTTTCGGAGGTAGAAAGGATGCTACTCAAAGTAGGCATAGTTCCGGGGACGGTCAAGGTCTTGCACGGGAAGAAACTGCGCTGGCGGTCTTGTCCACGATGATTGACAGGTGTGGCGGAGGTGGTCACGTTTCAAGAGAAGGCAGCAGTGAATGGCAATACCCCATGGACGGCATTGCCTTCTGGTACATCATGTCGCCTACAACGACGAATGACGCAGGACAGAGATCCTCCTGGACATGGAAGTGAGAAGGACGAGACGTGGCATGGAGGCTGCACATGTCGGGCGTCTGCGGGCTTTTCTCACCTGGAAGGCATCGGTTGACTTACCTCACTCCCTGGGAGAAGCTCGCGATACCTACCTCAAACTGCGGCTCTTATGACTGGTTCGCTTCTGAACACGTGCTGTCAGGCAGTAATGCAAGTATGTCATTGGATCGCTATACCTGCCCTCGTTCAAGCACACTGACGGTGTCTGGTGCTGGACACGCAACTCCCTTGCTCACCAGCACTCCCACGTCCTTTCTCCCCAGTGCAGTATGTTTCACGAGGGGTGCATCTGCCGTGGAATACTCCTCACCTCTACCTCCGGATCCCTGGCATTCCCATCTCTGACGTTTCAGGCTTTGTGGCTTCCTCAATGACCCCGGCCCATTCCTGCAGTGCCCTCCCGTTGATCGATCGAACGACACGAATATACCTGCGACGATGACATTACGGCTCGGATAGCCGTATACCCGCTGGTCAAAGTCGGTCTGGCAAGATCACTGGCATGGCCTTGTGAGAAGAAGTCATGTGCAAAACAGTGCATGTTACGAGGTGGACAGCTCACAGAGGAGGCGGCGCAGTTTCTGAGGTGGCATCTCCGGCGAGGCACGCCGGTGGTGGCAAGACGAGGTTCAGGCACAAGGCGTTGAGTCTTGATGTCACCATACTGTGAAGGAAGGTAGGAGAATACAAGCAATGGTCAAATCTTACTCGATCGATGGCGAAGAGGTGGATTGACGCTGCTGGTCTACAGACGTCACAGCAGGGGCGCGGACGAGCAAGAAGAGGGATGAGGGGCTTCCCACCCACACTCGGCCGGGGGCTCATTCAAGGCGCTGTGACAAACAGAGCAGAACAAAGGTGGTGGGCGCCGCAGGAAGAGAAAGCGGCGGAATGGGTGACGGCAATTTTCTGGGAATCCTCTTCCCATGCTGCATTCCATGTCCTCGGCCGACAAACAAAGGGCAAGAACAGACAAGTAGATCCTTAGCATCATCTTCATATTCATGAGAAGCCGTTACATAAGCCAGAGGCAAAATACACGACAATCAGTTCATCCGTTAGTCATTCATCCATGGCAGCAAGGTCGCTTGGTTTTCCCCCGTGATTTTGTCCCACTGGTAATCCAAACGTTTTGACCGCCTCTAAAAAGAACCAATAAAAAGGAAATATCCCGAAAAAGAGACGACCACGTTCGATCGTACGGTGCCATTTTTTTCATAGAAGTAACCGGTTTGTGTGGGTATATCGTGGGTAAGGGATGGTGTTGCAGTAGTGCAGTAGAAGGCGCGTCGCACGCATTGCACGCTGCATCGCCAGGCGCTGGACGTTCCGGTCGATGGCCCTGGGCGGTCAGCGGAAGAAGTGGGCGGGCACCCCTCTTGGGCAGTCAAGACTGGGATTTGGCATGCTTGCTTCGGGCGGAGGCTGGTGGCCTGCGGCCAGGTCTTCCTGGTGGCGCAGATGCGGTGTCCAATGCAGCCTCCTCTTGAGTCCGGGCAAATGTCGGCCGAGATGATGGTGACCAGCTCTTTCAAGAGATATCGCTCCCGGCGACAAGGAGATCGGTACACTGGGAATCGGAGTTGTTTGACGAGATGACTGGAAATGGGCTCTTCGAGCAAAGGTCTCTCGCATGTAGAAACTGGTGTCGCTCATCCCGTCTGCCTCTGCACCTGGGCGGTCGAGTCCGTGAGCTTGACAGAGTGCTCGTTGGTCATTTCGGCACGAATGGCAGCTTGGTCTTGGAGCGGTTGTGCGACATGAAAGGCCGAAGGGACGGAATCGACAGCTTCTGGTGCAGGGAAGGGAGAGACATCTTGTGGTTGAGCAGGCCACGTCGACCGGTGGACTGGATGGAACGTCCCGAACTCCGGGCGGTCTTCTCGCTTTGTTTGTCACTGTTGTTATCCTGTACCTGTGGCGGCGGGCATATGTACGGCAAGGTGGTGTTCCAGTATTGATGCCATTGGCCCATGTCGCTCAGCTGGGCGTCGGGCAGGTTTGTCATGGCCGGAGTCAGGCTCTGCGCGAAATGGCCCAGCCCATGCTGCGCCTGCAGGGCGTTCAGCCCAAGGTAGAATGTGTCCCTCAGCTCAGCCTCGAAAGGGAAGCCCGGGTGCGGGACCTCCAATTTGGTTTGGAACGGAGGTGTGAGGAGCACCACCACGACCAGCGCCACGGCTAGGACTGGCGAGCGGACGGTGTGCAGTTGCTGCAAGGCAGCCATCTGCAGGTGGTCCAACTCTCCCGTGACGGCAAGGGTCTTGACCGTCTGGGGCCACGCATGGTCCTGGCTCAGGGCGAGGACCACGGTGAACCGGGTATCGAGAGAGGGTTGTCCGATCTGCTCTTCAAGGGTGGTCATCCGACGATGGAGACCAGACACGCCCAGGATGCTGCGGGGCAGCGGATCTCGGCACCTCGGCAGCTTCTTGTAATCGAGGGCATTTCGGAGGCAGTGTTGCAGGGCAAGAACCTTCTCCTTGGGCGTGGGCAGGCCAATGAGGGTCATGGTTTCGGCAATCTTCCAGGAGCTGTTGAAGGTGCCTGTGGTGGCGGTGATTCGCGCGGAGGGGAGGAGGGTAAAGATGAGCCGATCGAGGTTTTTAGGCACTCTTGGAAGTGGAGTGGTGCTCTGGTAGGATGCTCGGTTGATCCATGTGAGCCAGGGCACGATCTCGTTGTCTGCGCACAGGGTGGCTCGGACGTGATCAGGGGTCCATCTGATGTAGAAGGCATCGAAGGGGTCGACCAGGCTCAGGACCAAGATCGCCAGCTTCCTCACAAAATCTTCATTGACGTCAACAGGCGGGATGGTCCAGGACTCTGGGCGCGGGCCTGTGCGCCGCGCAGGGGACTCGGGGGACAGAAGTGGTACGGGAATGGTGACTGAGGCCATCTGGACAAGCGAGGCAAGGGAAAATGGTGAGACAAAGGACTGAGAAACATGTCCAAACCAGGAGGGGTCTAGCCATAACTCATATACCAACTGCGATCCTGGAAAGCCGAGAGGCGAGAGGAGCAGGGAGACGGAGGGAGAAACCAAGTTGCAGTCAAACACCCGGGCATGTGGTCGGGCAATGAGGGTGGATGTGGCAGAAAAAGCAGTCCAGGTACCAACAGTCAAATCAGACGGCGCAAATGACACTTCGGAGACAGCTGAAGCAAAAATCGGACACCCAGTTCTGTGCTGGCTGCATATTTTTGACAGCTTGGAAGTCGAGGTTGACCATCTCCTGTTGGCCCTCAACACAGCGATGATGGAGATGTGCAAGGGGCGAAGCGTAATCCAAAGCCAAATAAGCCAATCCGCTTGTCTACCAACCGGAGTCTCTGCCCGGGTTGTACAGAGGGTGGCAAGGCCTCCTGTCGCACCTGTCAATGCTGGAAGTAAGGAGGGGGAAGAGGGTAAGTTGAGCAAACAGAACTTCGGATCCTGCAACCCGAACTCCATGCCCCCGCTTTGCCCGCATCGCCAAGAAGAGATTCTATTGCACCAACCACCGATGAGCATCTTACCGGCATAATTAGTCTCAAGAACCTTTTCCACCTCGCCCCTCCAGATACAGTGTAATTGGTGGATAGGTTAACAACCTTGTCCAGACGCAACGAATTGACCGAGTCGACAGTGGTCAGTTTAGGCGGGCGCGCTGATCTGCACCATATTGGGCCGACGGTCCGAGTTGCGCAAGGGATCGGGGACTTGCAATTAGATTCGCACTATCTCTCACTTAAATGCATCTGATTCGCTTAGATGGGGCAGGGTCAGCCGATCCGGGGCGGATGGGAGGAATGCTGTGGTGTAAAAGCCATCCTCATCGCCTACCCGGACTTCAGAGACCTGTGGGTTGGATATGAAGGAGTAGTGATTGTCGAAGTCGATGTGTATCCAACCCCCTTGCTCGCCACCCCGGAGTCATGCGGCCCCTGGTCACAATAACGATGGAATAAGACAAACATAATGGACAATAAATACCCAGGTCTTTAAAACAACTCCCTCTCAGCTCACTCGCAGTCTTTTGAATGAGGCTCCTGCTCAGCGCGGGGTACGATGCCCTTGGCCAGCTTACCAGTCCGTGATAACCCCGCCAACCCCGCCAACCCCTTACGTTTTTGTCCCCCTTGCAACTGCACCTAGCCTCGTTATGGAATGTCCAAATCACCTAGTCCCGAAGAGGATGTTTAGGCTGAGGTCTAAGCCAATCAGATGAACCTGTGTCTCATTCTTGTCCAATTTTAGTGGAGCTTGATTGAGCTTGGCGCGTTTGAACGGTATGTTGGGCTTGCGCTGAAGACTCGTATGGAGAGCCGCTATCTGGTTTGTTCGTCTCGATATCGCTACTAGACCTGCAGGAGACTGGCTACGACCGGTCTTGGATTACTACCACACCATAACGCGCTCTTCGCACGAGCCAGAGCCACATTCTCCTCCGTCTGCTGCTAGTGCAACCGGCCGTGAGCGAAGTCTCAAACCACGTTTGACCACGAGACGAGCATGAATCTGCACATGCGTTCGAGCTCTTTGCTGCTATCAAGGAGTCACCCCACATACCTTTCTCCCTCTTCCTCGCTTTAAACATGGCATTTTGCGCCTTTGTAGATACCCATCTGCAACACCCACTAAGTTGTCACCCTCCGAACAAGACTCGCCCTGTATGAATGTGAGTGGTTTCTCACCCATCTCCTTCGACGCACCTGTCGCGGGAGATGAATATTTCGATTCCTTTGATTGCTTCGCGGCGCAAGACGAACAGCCCCATCCGACTTTTTATGCGACCCCCCTGTCAATCCGAGAATGGCCTGGTTCATCGCCAGCCTCGAAAGAGCCGCTCATCGACAAAGTGGTCATGAGAATCCCCCCCAGCCTGCAAAATGGCCTCAACCTCCACCATGGCGACATGAGCGGTCCGATCCCTTTCACGAGTCCTCCCATGATTGACCAGGTCATCATGCATGTACCCCCTCAACAGCAGCAAGACCTCCTCCGTCCCCAGAGCGAGCAACCGTTTGAGTACACCTTCAACAATAGTTTCGTATCCGGACCGGAGTGGCACAGCCACGTCAGCCTCAATAACGCGGTCGCCGGTCACGATCAAATATTCACGTCTGGTGAGCCTCAGCCGGACGCCCGGCCAACTGGACAAAAGAGAAGGTCATATTGTCCATCATGTGGAATGTCTTATGGGAGGCGCGAGGATATGTTGCGCCATCTCCGAGCGCGTAGGTGGCTCCCTTCCGATTTCCAGCATCTGATGTCGCTGACAGGCTGCCAGACTCGAAGGACTCCAAGTTTTCCTGCGGGTTTTGCCCCAAGACTTTTAGGCGCAGGTAGGACACAGATGGAACCCTGAATCCTTTGAAGGGACCAAGTCGCTGACCGGTTCGCAGGGAAATCTGGAGGGAACATCAAGAATGGTGCAAGAATCGGTCACGAGCGTCAATACCGAAACGAGGGAAAATGGCGAGGTGCGTCGCTTGCGCGACTCGGGACGTTGACTGTAGCCTGGGCACACCGTGTTTCAATTGTGCGACAGAGGGCGAAGAATGTACTCGGCGTAAGTCCCCTGTTAGCGGTATTGGGTCATGAGTATCAAACACCAGCCGATACTTCCCACATTGACGCAGGCGGTTACATTGATTTCGCTGACATTCTGCTCCAAGGTTTCGGCATTCGTACGAACGAGAATGCTTCTGCTTCTGCGCGATCCAGGTCCACCTCACCACAGGAAATGTTTCCTAGTCCCGAACAACCGAGCTTTCCGATGAGGGTACTATGGTCACCGCCGGCCGACCCCTCCTGCGGACAACCGCAGTCAAGAATCCACAGCGTTCTCTTTCAGAACTATTTGCGCCGTTTTGAGGGCCCCTTGAAATGGTGGATTGCGAGGCTGAGTTCTGGGCCCACCGATGGCCTGGACGGGGAAGTTCAAGAAGACAAGTCGTCGCCTTCTCTGATTGACATGGCCCAGCAGCTCGACGCCGATTTGATGTCCTGGCATCAAGAGAGTGCCTGGAGCGTGTTGAAAACGGCAATTGCAGCGTTCGGGAGTCAGGGGATTGATCCAAGGTCCGCCAGGTGGGAGCCGAGATACGGATTCGATAATGGCTGTCGGCCAGAATTCTGGGTCAGAGCCAAAGCAGCCATCGATAACAGCCCCGACATCCTTTCCTTTCAGGTCATCCTGGCGAACTTCATACTTGGGATGATCCATCGTCCGTCTTCAGGACACGATGAGAGTTTCGCCAGCGAGGCGCCGTCGGGAATAGCATTCCCACGTCAAGATAGTCGGCAAGTTGGCAACAGATTCATTCGGCGGGGTATCTCCGATCTCTACCAGTTGATCCGACAATGCAGAGATAGCTCAGCTGCTGGGTTTACCAGCACCAACGCAGGTCAGCAATATCTGAGATCATTCTTCAGTCTCGGTCTGGTGCTGGACACGATCTCAGCCGCAGTTGACGGTCGTCCAGTCCTCATCCACGACGAAGACTGTGCAATCATTCTGGGTGAGAAGTCTGCGGAAGCAAACGTTGAACAGAATTCTGGGCTATGGCAGCTCCCCAACATGCAATGGAAGGAGGTCAAAGTGATCAAAACACCAGATGGGAGACAGACGATAGATTGCCATTCCCGGTTGGGTGCTGAAGGCGCTCCAATCACCACATTGCTCTTCCGCAAAGTTGCGCAGCTTCAAGCTCTGCTCTTCCGACGACGACCAGAATCCGAGCTTGAGACATGCATCCTCGAGGCTGTGGACGTGTACAACCATGGGAACAAGCGATACGGGGGGCTCTCCTCCGATCCGCTCAGCATCTGCGATTCCTCGTGCACAATAAACCTGGGGATTCGATGGAACCTGGCCTGTCTTCTTCTGGCTGACGTGACAGAACGGATTGAGCTTGTGATGAAGCCATTGACATTGTCGGAAAAGCTCCGCGCGACTCTCTGTAACATGAGAATGAAAGCGGTCTGTATCATCTCGGGGCTTGCAAGACTCTCGACATCGGCATCCGAAGGGGAGCCATCAACAATGCTTATCGGCGAGAAGATCGCCAGCGCCTTTCTGGATGACCCCTGGACCCAGGTCCTCGTCCGCGCTATGCTGCAGGCCTCGAAGGTTTCCGAGGTTTGGCGGAAAGACGGCAATGCCATCAGAACCCCACAAACAACAGATACGCTCTCGCCAAGCGAGCTCAGTTGTCTGGATTGCGTCAAGCGGCTCGGGTCATAGCGGCTGGACGAACGATAGCATGGCACACATGGCTTGCGACATACATCTGGATCGTTGCCAGCCATGCATGAACCCGTTCCGAACCAGAGTCTATGCGCTTTCGAGGCGTTCTTTGTGCAACTCAAGCTTTCTCTTTCCCAGATGCTTTCCACAACATGGCGGCGCAGAGCAAGCACGCCTATCGGCTGGAAGAAAATTGCTGGCCGCCATGACCATTGTATTTGTACTCTTGAAGGCTGCGCCGCCGTATGGCCGCACCTCCGCACCCGATTTTTGGCCCTCATTTATACCATGTATTAAAGAAAGGAGGTATCATGCTGTTCTGGAGCAAGTGGGATCGATTGATAAACGGCAGGACGGGCGGTGTTTCCTTTGTGTATTCGATCTCTGTATTCGACTGGCGGCCGTGGCAGGTAGAGGATCGGGAAGCAGACGTCCATGGGTTTCGCTGGTTTGGTCGTCTCGCCTCGCCTCGCTCGTTTTTCGATGCTGTATGTAACATTGCAGAATTTGTGATCCTGTCAGCAATCTTGCGCCTCATGCCGCTGTTCCAGGAAGTTAGCGTCGGCATGGGCAAAAGACTCATCGTTAACCGTTACCACTTACCACTTTCACTTGTGACCGTGTTGTGGGAGCCAGGTATCAGCAGCGTTCCGCTCAGTCTAGCTGCTGCCCCGGTCATTCTAGGGTTATCGGAGGGATTGGGGCACCAGTGGTAGGCGTGTCGAAAGGCATCCTTCACGGTGCTACCACAAGAGTTATCTGTGACCGCTCCGGAATAGCAACTGCCAAGGTCGATACTGAAGATTTGTAGAAGATGCCATCACGCGCCGCACAGAAACCAATTATGCAAATCGACTTGCGTGACGCCTTGAGGAATATCCCAATATACCACGCCGTCGGCTTGCGAGACACGAAACGCGGTTTGATGATCATGATGTGCTTCCGCTCGCAAAGGGAAGGTAAGACGATAATGCCAAGATGTGGCAAATTCACGGTCAGCTCACCCCTCTTCGGGACGAGGGTGACGCCGCCCTGTGCTCACTGGTTCGCGCGAGCTGGGGGAGTGCGCACCCGTGGCTCACCCTCCGTGGGGGCAAAAGGTCGTACCGTCGGGCGTGGATGGTGCAACGCCGGTCGGGCCGGTGTTCTATTCACCACGATGATTGGCGTCAGGAACGAAAGTAGGTCTCGCTAGGAGGCTCGTGAGGAGGACCGAATCATTGTCTAGGCGGCTGCAAAAAGCAGCGTCGCTACCGTTCCGTTTTCGACCTTAGTATCCCCGCTTGACCTGAGCTGGAAAGGCGGCTTCTTACGCCATTGACCGCCTACCACTTTCGGGTTAAGGAGCGTAAATTCTGCCGCCTCCGACGGTATGTAGATGGGATGCCGACCCTCGCTGCTTTTTCTCCCACCTACGACAAGATAAGTCCCTCCACGACCACGATCTCTCTGCCCTCCGCTGGCTTTGGCCCGAGGGCCAACTCGAGCCGACCCTAGCGCCACCCGTTATGCTGCGAGGCACGAGTTCCTCCCTTGACGACCCTTTTCGAGCGAAATCAAGAGGCCTGCTCGATCCACTGTCGCTGTCGTGTATCGTGCGCCCTCCCAAAACCCTCTAGATTCTCCTCCCCGGCATCAGTGAAGCCGCCATATCGTCGCCGCCATGCTCGAACCGCGAGCTCCTTCCCCCGATCGACCACGTGCGGTCTCGCCATGCACCCAAGTGGCGAAGGCGCTACATCCTCTCCCCCCATATCAGCCTCTTGTCGACGACCGGCCCCCGGCTGCACGAGGTCACTATCTATATTGATGCAGCTAAGCGAGTCAGTCCGACGGTGCCAATTGTCGATCGTACCCTCCTAGCCAACTTGTTGAGCTCAAACTCGAGGGATTCCCGCCTACATACACACTGCAGGACCACGCTTGGCCTGTCGAGATACACGATCCCTTGGATTCTTCGATGTGAGCCAATGCAAAGAAATACCTCCTGAGATGGGCTGCATATGGGTGAGACAATGGGAGAGCTGAGACGCGCAAACAATCCTCCACGCATCGCCACCAGGCTGAGCCCTGATCCCCTCCAAACTCGACGCCTAGCTTGCGAGGGCTATTGGCAATGAACTGATGGGCCAAACTTGGATTCTGCCTCGCCCGAGGCTGACGTGTCAGGCGAAGCTACATTCGGAAGCAGGAAAGAGAAGCAATCGAGAAGGAGGGGTCGGGGTGGGGCGTGCAGCAGGCACGAACAGCGACGGATGCCTGCGAGCGTTGGCCTTTTGGGCTCCTCAAACCCTCGGCCTGTCCAGGCTCCCACCGCAGAAGCAGCTGGCACTGCCTAGTGTATCTCAATGGAAACGCCAGCTGCAACTTTGGGCCGTTCTCCTCCCCGGAGCGAGCGAGTCGGAGAGCTTACAAGGTTAGGAGCTGCGATGGCATGTACGAACTGTCGTTCAAGTTCCTCGGCGGTGGCTACCTGAAGCTGAGAGTCAACCGAGAAATGGTGTTCATCAATCCATACAGCGCGAGCTCCCTAGCTCCTCCCGCGGCTGCTCCGGAAGTGTTCGAGTTCGTTGGCATCAGGCGCGATCGCGAGAAGGAGAAAGCGGAACGGCAGGAGAGAATGACAAATTCGCGCCGCTCGCCATCACCCCGCGAGAGTTGGTTTGAGATGAACCATCCTATGGGATCTTGAAGCATCCAATAAGCCCAACTAAGCGGAAGGATGTCTTTCTGGCGAAGATATCAAGGCCGGCGGGCTAGACCTTCACAGTATGTGCAATGCCGTCCGTGGAAACAAAAGCTGACCTATTGGGAGACAACTATAGGATTGACTTGGACGGTATCAAGGTAGATTAGTTATGGTATAGATTCTCGTGGATTCAGGGTCTTGGAGTAAACAGTTATGACATAGATTATATTAGAATAAATAGACGTAGGGTCGATCAATGTAGGAAAAGACACTGGAATAAATTTCTACAGACTAACATCGTGTATATATATTCAGTGGTCGAAACCTTGATTGCGCTAAAAGAAAATGTTATACACACAGTGAGGAGGTCCGCGCGAATTTGTTGTACGACAAACTTGGGTGGCCCAGCTCAGTCCAGGCAAAGCCACTGTGGCTTGGCTAGCCTGGCGGCAACGAACGATTTTAAACCAACACGCTTCGGAAGAGGCACAAAAACGTCCACTCCTACTTCCCGCCTTTCACGCTCTCAGGCTATCAGGTCTTGAGAGCCATACCGCGGAATATGTTCTTGTGTTTAATCTTAAACGACTTGCGCTTCTTCATGGGCGTGAACCAAAAGGAAGCAACGCGGTGGTAGAAAAAGGATGTAGCAGCGGACAAAGTATGAATTTGGTCAGGCAAAGGGAGGGGAGGGCAGAATATCATATATGCCTCGGCAAATGGCGGTACGCACGTGACGAGCCCCTTGATTTAATGTCCTCTTGGCGGGCATCCCAGTCTTGAATACTGACCGAGGGAACGGACTGAATTTGGAGAGCGTGGTCTTGTGAGGGAACGAAAATTATGCTCTTAGGATCAGAGTCACGAAGTTCATGCACAGTCAAGGCAGCGCGGTGGCCGACCACAAATGATTGTGGGTAAGGGAACACATCAGCTCAGCAGGCGAGGTACTAGCTGCCCTGAAATGCTGAATCTTCCCCTTAACCAGAGTCTGACAGTCAAGATAGGTAGAGGAACAATCTACAGATGAATAAGTGATTAACATAGTTTGAGAATAGAAATATTTAGGCGCGAGGTGGTGTACATCATCTATGTCGGGTAGAAACTTGGCGTGAAATTACCATTGTAGGGTCGACCGAGGACCAAGGGATTCCTGATTGTAGCAGTTGACAGGGGCCAACCGGGAGCTATCTAAGTGTATAGGTCACGTGATGATCACGTGTCAACTAGCGCTACCACACCATCTCTTCAGGTGCCAAGTCTCACTAGTCCCGGCCTGCGTTCTCAATGCCGACGACTTGATGTGTTCTTCACGGCCCATCCCTGTTGCACGCACAGAGGCGCAACATTCGTGGAATACTTCCGATCAGTCTGAATGAGCACTACCTGAACTTATACCCCGTGGCCTGCATGTGTCCTTTTATTCTTCTGGTGACTTCTTCGCGACGTCGTCTTCGTGCACAATGAGAGCCCATTCTCCGCACCGACCGACATTACTTTGAATCAGGTCTTTGACGCGACTCGCACAGAGATGGACACATCTAGACCAAACATCTTGACCAGGTGTAATTGGGTGCAAGCCTGTTTCCACGACTCCTTGAGCCCTCAAAACGCGATGTGATTGTATTCGAGCTGACAGCAACAGAGAGCGCCCCATAAGCGCAGCCATCATCAGCCTTCAAATGTGATTGTATCTTCTGAAGGCAACCCTCTGTCCTTGATGCGGGAACCTATCTCAAGGTAGGCAACGACATTGAGTAAACACGAGAATGACTCCCGGCGACAGCCATACCTCATCTCGGTCGATCCCCGACCAAATCCGCGTCATGTCGCCTCCAATCGTCCCTCTGAGCAAGGTTACCGCGACCGAGGCGGGCGATGTCACCGCAGCCCGAGGCAAGTTAAGAGATGGGGATACACAAGCACCACGGTTGACCTTCCGGGTGCAGGGTGCAGACTAAATGCTCCGCATGTGCCGTTCGTGTCCTCGTGCGAGGCTCTTTCACTGTTTGAAAGTGTGAAGGTGTGCAGTCATCACGTCTCTTGAAGGACGGCATCCTCTTTGGGTGTGACTGGCGATATCTCAAGCCGGGAGACTGTCATGGGACACCTCCATATTCTCGGAACAAGATTGGAATTGCCAGACGAGACTGCCCCGCAAGCTTGTTTGCCTTGGGTGCGATATGATGCACGAGAGGAAATGACGCGTCCATGTCCGTCTTGGTCTCAGGTTCTGCCCTACTCATCATTCGAGGCTTGTCGTGGGCGTTATACCGTGTCTCCGTCTCCACGGGGACCAGAGTTGCAGAACATTTATGACGGGTGTTGCACTCAAGCCCTTGATATCAATGGACATCTCTTGGATGGCTTTGGGAATCTTGGGCCGTATCATCACGACTCCTCAGACCTGGGCGCGGAGTTCATCAGCTAGCTGTATTGTATTGGCTTGACTTTGCTCGGATGGAACAGGTAGCCGAAAGACTGCAATCGAAAGAGTTGAATGTTCTTCACCGTGCTCGATACTGCCGGTTTGCTGTTTCTGAACTCTTAATGCCGAATGAGACCAAGTACCACACTCTGTCGTTTCAGGGTGTCCGCTCATCCTTCAGGTCCAATCGATGTTGTCAAACACGAGACCAGAACAAGGCCGCACATCTTCTATCCCGTCCGTTGCCTCTATACGATGTTACCTGTCCACAGACACGATCCCGTTGTCCCTTGCAGAGCATTGCTGGCAGCAACGCCGACCTTGACGCACGGCACCTTCATCAAGGCTCCTGGCGAAATCTGCACTCTGGACCTTTGGGAGAAAGTCATCTTTTCACTTGATCCCCTTTTCGTACGGCACAGGCCGCAATCGCCTGGAGTTCTGACTGACTCAAGGCTGCTAACGACTGTGAGCCAATTCACTCATGCGGAGTTATGATCTGGCGGCCGGTTCGAGGCTCTGAGCGGCGTCCTATCGTCAGGCTACGCCGGACGAAGTCTTCGCCACACCGAGCTAGCATCGCAGACATCTTGATTCCTCCCGAAACAACCTCTGCGCCACTTCAGTCCTTCCATCAGCAGTGCCTGCGAGGAAGGTCTCCAAGAGATGGCGAACGTGCGCTCGAGACATCCACCATCTGTCCCCCATGTTCAGCAGCCCGCTATTACGTGGAGAACCAGACGAGAAGTTGGCCGCTTCAAGGCGGTTGTTCAGAGGCTGAAGACAGAGTAGAAGAGTCTCAACTTCGTCAGGAAGCTTGGTACGGTCCCGCTTGGCTTCAAGGTCGCCGGGAGCTCACCATTGACCGGGACTGGAGAACGAGTCTCGGAACCAGGTCTCGACAGCCTCCGCTGCCTCTCAACTTCCCCGACCGCCGTTGGTTGACTACAGGAAACTCCCAGAGCACGCCGAGTACGAGGCCGACCGCATTGCCGAGAGCCTGCAACGCGACAACGAGTAAGGCTGCTCTTCTACCTTTTACAGGGCTACGCCAGCCCAGAATCCCCGAGCTGGGAGCACAGCAAGGTCAGAATTAGTCGTCCTGAATGCGCTACTTGTCTTTGACAGACCTTGTGTCGAAACGGGGATGACAGCACTACAGACGATCGGGGGTTTGATCGAACCGCAAGCCGAACATGTCCTTTCGGATCATACTGATACCATCACCCCGTTTCCGGTTTCAGTAATCAAAAAAAAAAAAAATCATACGGCAATGACAAGTCGATGGTCGAAGTAGGCAATCAGGTTGCAGTAGCTGGGAGATGTATCCTTCTCTGCTGCTATGACACCTTGCTACTCTACACATTGGTACGCACCCGATTTTCATCTAAGCGACAAGGAATGGTGCTTCTCACCTTCGCCATATCGACCTACAAGTCCCCGGATCCGTTATCCGGTAATGCCCCCCTGGTGAAGGAGGATGGAAAGCACGCCTTGCATGTATCGCCGATGAGCTGGAGGCCCTCGTTTGAATGTCGGATCATTTCTGGGGTGCGCAAGATTCATAGCTTGATAGAGATCACGTATCAGTTGTTTGGGGTGGCCCAACTGTGCGTGATGAGGCAAAGAGCTTTCCCACACCTCGAAGATAGCTCAAAGCTGCCAGTGGCGATTCGAGGACAGAGCTTGGGAGAAGCGTGGAATCTCGGGGACGTGAAAGAGACGTATAGGGGAGTATGGAGAAATACAGCGCCTTTGCAGAAGTACCAGTCCTTTTCAATGCCTCTCCAGTGGACGATAATGGTGGCGCTGTCAGTACTTCCGTTCAGCAACATACCGCACCTCACAAGTCTGGTATCTCGAGACCATAGGGCCATGATCCTGCCCATGATGCGGAGAATCTCGCAGGTATTGATATTGGCCCCAAGGGAGCCCCGGATCGCTCACCGAGTCTCACCATCGAAAAGCGTCTCTAGACTTATTTAAGCCCCGGGTGTGTCGACCTTCCCGCAAGGCGAAGATGCCATTCCTGAGGTGATTCTCCGCGGTCTGGAGGACCAGGCCACTACGTTCCAAATGGCCGAGGACTAATAGGCTAACGTATACTGTCAGGCCATCTAGCGCCTCGGCACTCGGTTGCTGCTGCACGGGCGTGTAATGTATACCAGATTGGCCATCGATGTCCATCTTTTCGCGAAACAGCCTCTCTTACAGGCATCTTAAACCGTGATTTCAGGAAAGTGGTGCCCGGTCCAGCGCTGCGGCGAGTTCCTCGGAGGACTGAAACCCCAAAGTCCAACAGTTCTCAATGATATGGCCTAGCCAGACGGATTCGGTGGACGGGAGGTCATCTCGTCGTGGCCCTGAATACCAACTGTCGGATCCCTTCCGTGTCAGGTCGAATTTGCACTCACGTCCAGTAATCACTTGGTACATTACCGCACCAAATTGGCCAATGTCATTCAAGATTGAATAACCAAGCTCGTCAGTCCCAGATAGGTCCCATTCGAGCGGCATCAAGGTTGATTCTCCAAAGTCGCAAAACTTCACATCTAGAGTGTCGTTGAGGAGGAGATTGTCCAATCGAATATCTGCAATGATAATCCGGTGTCCGTGGATATAGGCCATTGTGTGCGCTAGTTGGACAAACCAGGACAACAGAATCCCGCGCGGTAGTTGTGGTTCCTGTTCCTTCAGAAAATGACGAAGATCACCGCTCATCCGCTCCATTCGGATCGAAGGGTCGGATGTCTCGAGATCGTAGCAGCGGACAATACCGTCGTGGCTACCTAATCTTCGATAGATTGCCTTCTCGACTCCAATCGCTTCAATAACCGGAATTCGGTCGTCGTACTCGCCCTCCTTTGGTGTCAAGGAACCCAGTTCCACGGGTACTGAGGTGACGAGGGGGAAGTTGACGTGTCGGAGCTTCTGTGCGCAGGTGTCAGTATTCATATGGAGAAGAAGGCGCCGACTTACGCGACGGCCATGAAAGAATGCAACTTTTGGAATGATTCGTGTGGCAAGACGAGGATAATAGTTCTCAGGGTCGGGAGTGAGGATTGCACCCTTTTACAAGATGCGACGCGCACGCGCAGTCACGTGGCACGCTGTGCATGCTTGCAGCGTGATCAGTTGTCCTGGCAGAGCGCTCTCAGTGCCTACTTGTACAGGCAGTGTGGATAAATTCAATTGAGATGGATGTTGCGCCTCGGGTTGACGTTGTCAACACAAGATCAATGACGCGCTGCCTGTTGCCGTCAACTTGGATGATTCTTGGCCTCTGCCTTGTTATTAGAGCCCGGTGCCGGTTCCATTTCTGGATAGTATATCACGGCGTTTTACTGGGATTCTGACTTGGCGGTCGCTTTATTTAAAGCGGCGCCATTTGGCTCTCCAAAAGGCAGGAGCTTCTCGGTAAAGCTCCCTTCTTCGCTTCCCAACCAGGCCTAGTGTAGTGGGTGTTCCCATGCGAAACAAGGTCCAGTCTCTCACGTGAGAGAATGCCACTCACTGTCATTATCTCACGTAGAGACTCAGACTAGCTACATCTATCAACTCAGGGCTGTCGCGCGCCGTCCGTCTATCTGGTCCTTGTTTTAGTTTGTGCTATTGTTACTAGCCTTGACACCGAACCTCTTCTCCGAAAGCCTCTCCATATCTCCACCTCATCCTGCGATCTTCTCCATACCTCCACCTGCTGCGATCCGCTCTGTCCCTACACCGTCGCCCCACCTGTGACCTGAGCCGTCGAAATCCAGTCCCTCGTCCATCTACTACCAGACCAGATGTTTGATTTCCAATACTTGGCTTCCCATGGAATCTTCCACTCGATGGGTGAAGCTGATCGGGAAGAACACGAGGCTATCAGAAGCCCTTGATAATGAAGACAATGTCCTCCATATGTTACAATACCCAGAGAAACGCATCCAGTTTGGAAGTCATGCTTCTTGAGAAAGAGAATGAAATTCTTCATATTGCTGCACAATGTCTCAACGTCAACGTGAGTGCCTGCAAGCTTTCAGACGTCGCCGATTGGAACCACTGCAGTTTCAATCTACGTGTTCCTATTCATGTCGATTGGAAGGGGCTTGAACGAGTTCTATTCCGTGTCCCACTCCCGTATAAAATTGGCGAGGACTTGCTCCCAGGCAACATGGACGAGAAAGTCAGATGTGAGGCGGCAATCTATATTTACATTCACCAACACTGTCCTGATGTCCCCATCCCCATGCTCTTGGGCTTCGGCGTCTCCACCGGAATCGACGTAAGCCTGCTTGTCTGGATGAGTCTTAGTGACGCAGTCTAAATACAAGCAGTTCACACCCCTTGAGAATGCTTCCTTCTTGTGTCTACTCTATCGATGGCTTGCCGATCAGCTGCGAACCGTTGTGGGAATCCCATTAGCGTCGCCTTTTGTCGCCAATCGTCGAACATCGACCCTTTGTGTGGGTTACATTGTACTGGAGTATATTGAGCGCGGGCAGATGCTCTCTGAGACCTTCAATTCTCAAATATGCGATCCATCACGGCGGTGGGACCAGTTCAAGGATCTGTCCCGTATCATGGTGTCGTAAGCAAAGATTCCCCAACCTCGAATTGGCCTCTTTACCATTGACGACCAGGGATACATATCACTCTCCAAGCGGCCTTTAACTCTCCAACTCCAAGCACTCGAGAATGAAGACATTCCTACAGGTAATGACCGTTTACGAACCTATGAATGCACCGAGAGCTACGTGCTGGATCTCCTAGCGTACCGTGACAGCCGCCTTCTGCATCAGCCAAACTCCATGAACGATGAGAAGGACGGGAGGAGACAGATGTCCGCCGTAGGTCTAACGAGGTCCATTATGCCCCTAGTTCATCAACCGCAAGACCGCACGAGGCCCGGTTTTCCTCGGTCTCACGGATCTGCAACAGTGCAACAGAGTAACATCTTCGTCAACGAGTGGTGGCAAGTCGAGAACCTGATAGGCTTGGAATGGGCGTGTTCACACCCTTCCGAAATGCTGAGACCGCCTTACTTGTTGACCGGGGAGAAGGTCGACTGTTTGTATGGCAAGACCCAGCTTGACAGATTCTGCAACGCACGCGAAGAATTCATGGCCGAGTTTCGACAACAGGAGATGCTTCTAACGTCGCCGTCGGAGACCACACGAAGTGCCATGGTGGAGGAGAACTAGAAAATTGGGTCCTTCTGGTTCTTCCACGCGCTTGAAACGACGAAGGAGCTCTACGATCTGTTCAAGCAGAATATCATGCCTCACTTCTCGGGTCATGACAGTTCCGAGTTCCCTGATATTTCGCAGTACTAGAGCAGTGACGTGGACAAGATGATCGGTTCGAAGCTCGAGGAGAGGGAGCGGTGACTTCACCGGCTGTCCCTGGCGGCGGTATCTGCAGACTCGGATTCAGATGGGTAGCTGCTGTTTAAGCGGGCTGAAGGAGGCTTTCTGTGATTGCCTTGTCCTGAGCGGCTCTCGAAGGGGAAGACAGATGATACGTGGATCTGCTTGCCCCCATGACTTTGAGACCAGTGTTGGTTTATTTACCCCTTGCCTCTCCCACGCCATTGTCCTTATCCTTGCCTTTCTCGGTATGTAGGGGCTTTCTTGTCAGACTGCGGCTGGCTGGCTGGCTGGCTGGCTGGCTGGAAGTACATATGGTGTCCAAGTTCCGGAGACTTATCTAGTCCCTACATAAACCGATTCAAACTACCCATTAAGATTAAAAATCTTGAACACGTCGCATACACATCGTCACTTTTGCGGCCTTGCCTTGCCGGCATTATGTACTGATACTTGCCCTCGAGTCATATCCAGCCCAACCACTGCCGTCGACGTCCACAGATGAGAGATCCCTCCTAAGAGCCGGAATACCTCGGTGCCAGCAAATCAAGCATCGTGTACGGAATCGACGAAAACAAAGCCATTAAACAATACACCGCCACCGACGATGGCGAAGATGTCATTGAGCACCGCGTCTATAAGCGGTTGGGCTCACGTCCCCGCAACGCCAAATATTTCGGCATGATAGTCGACGGCCCTATTGTTCTGGAACGAGGAGAGGCCCTGCGAACAGTCCACCAGCGGATGATGCACGAGGGAGTCCCGGCGTCGTTATCCTGCAAAATCCGCTAGACGGACCAGATCGCGGCGGGATTGCAGTATCTGCACAGCAAGGGCGTCGTGCACGCCGATGTGGGCTGGCAGAACGTGATCGTGGTCAATGAGGACACTTCAGACCAGGATAGCTGCAGGTTGATCGACTCTGAAGGGTGCGGAGTTGACGGTAACGCCGCAAACTCGTGCTACGAGTGGTTCAGCTATCGACTCGCGACACCGCGGGTCAGCGAGCAGACTGACATCTTCGCGTGCGGGTGCTTGGTCTACGAACTTGTCACGGACACGCCACTTTACCGGGATGAATACAAGGACTCGCGACACAGGGACCACGAGGTCGAACAGCTCTACCTGGCCAATCGCTTCCCAGACCTGGCGAATTGGCCGTTACGTCGGGTTATACACGATTGTTGGCACGGTCACTTCAACACAATGGCGGATATGATTCAGGCGCTCAACGAATGAACATACTGACTGAATGGTTCGAGTTCTCAGCCGGAGTTGGCATTGAATTTCATGTATCGATGAACCCGCGTTTGAACGCTTGGTCCGTTATAGTCGCAAAGACCCCCTCCCTTCTCGACCCTTCTTCTTCTGCCTTCCATGAGACTCGGATTGACGTCATCGACCCGCCCTATCGCCTGTTTTCTTGCTCAGCAGAGCACCGGAGCCGGAACCTTTATAGGTCGCCTCGAACCACCTCTTGCTCCTCCTAAGATGCCTGTTAGAATGCCACCGGCTCTGTTGCCCTAGGTTGCCAATAGCCACCGTGGCCGAGCTCTTGGAGACCAAGACCGTTTGATTTCTAATCACCGGCGCACCTTCCATCAGAGAGAAGCGAGGAGAGACCCGGATATTCCTGATATAAAGAAGCAGCTTACGTTTGATACTCCTAATGCTTTCCGGTGTGCCAGTCGTTCCCCGCCCTCGTGCGCGGATCGGGGCGTGCAGTGGAATTTCAAGCCTGGTGATTTCGTCAGCAAAGCTGCTTCTGGTTTTCTCATCAGCCCAAGAGAGTGTTGGGTGATGCACCATTATTGTCCAGCTCGTCTCCACGGCTCGTTGTGACGGTACACTGGAGATAACGACCAGGGCTGACTGCTGCAACCAGACCGACTAGCAGTATGGGGGTATTTGGGGAGCGAAGCGTGACCCCATCGAAAGAGGGACATGGCCTCTTGTTACAGGCATCAAGGTCCGCCCCGTGTGCAGTGAGCCGGCGGACGAGGTCTTTGTCACTGAAAGCATGTCTTTAGGTCGTCGTAATACAACTTTTGCCAGCAAACGCCCATCACCGGGCTGTAGGTACTTCTAAAGATCAGAGCATTTCGTTGATTGTGACAGGCTGCCTTGACGTGGAGATCATCTGCCCTGGGAGACCGCATGGTGTCGTCCGAGCGAGATCTCACCGCGCTAGAGAAGCTGTGGATTGTTGATTCGGCGCTGTTACAGAGGCCAAGATCCTCAATCAGTAAAGAATCACCTTCGACCGCAGTGACAAGTGCTTGTGCCCTCTCACGGGACGACTCAAAATCGGTGCCCGTCGAACATAGTGTCCAGGATTCAAAAGAACTTGCTAGCGGCGAGGACAGCAGCGGCCACTGCTATGACGTGGAGCGGAGAGCCTTTGCATTTGTCGCTGCGGTGCAAGGTTGGGGGCCAACATTGTCAGGTGACAGCCCAAAATGGGATAGCGGGAACCTTAAAATTACCACGACATTCTCTCTCTGCAAGTCAAGACCTTTTTACAGGCCCGTGGATAGCGGGAAATTCTGCATGCCACCACAATCCAATCCTCTCTCACACCCTCTTCCAATTTTCTCCAGCTCCGATGCCTAGGTTTTGCTCCGTGGTTTTCACTATTCGAACACCCATCGCTTGCTCATCCAGCCTGGATTTTGCGTGCTTCCACATAGCTGATTCTTCGGCAGGCCCAGCGGCGTGATTCCTCGTTTACGAGTAGATCCTGGCTTTCAGAGCGGCTGTAGAGGAGCGAGGGAAGTGCTGAGAACCTCGTTGACCTCCCCAGCCGGCGCGGTGGATGAAGTGGGATCCGCGCGGATGCTCCCCTCAATGCATAGCCCTTCTGCCATCACGTCGACTTCGAAACAGCATCGTCCGCTGTGGCATACTGGTGCTGCCACGTTGTGTCTTGAGGGGAGAAACCGTCCCTTTCACGGCTAGAGAAAGGGAGCATCCAAATTCTCCACAGAAGAGGGATTCAGGTTGCAACACGAATGACCGAGAGGTCATCAGGAGCAGCGAAAGGCGACATCAGCGGCAAAATCAACGATGGCGGTCGCTATCGAGATGGTATGTGTTGTGGTGGAACGCCCAAAGCCTCACCACGCCTCCGATTGTCGACCGGTTCAGAACCCAGTTCGTCCCCCTGACGATGGCGTCGGAATACACCTTGCCCTCACAGGTCAGATCGCCCGCCTTGGGCTCCTTCAGCTGCAGCCTCCTGGAGTTTGCCACGCACACCAGCCCGCCATTATGCATGGTCTGGGGATTTACTTGGGCATCTTCGAGCTGTCGGTCCAGCTGTGCCTCACGATTATGTCCAGCATCTTGAGCCTGGCCGCCAACACAGCGGGAGGGAGCTAGTGGAAGGAGAGACCAAATTCCCGTTTCTCATCTCCGGGGCCATGAATCACACGCCCACCGTGGTGCTGCTGTCCTCGAAGTCGTCGATCTGCACGTCCGCAGTCATCACCTCCATCATGCGACCACACAGAATGAATATTACGGTCAGAGATGTGATTACGGTGATGTCTTCCGAAGTTCTCTCTCACAGCGGCGATGGCGTTGACGGCGTGCCGTGCACGATCTTGGTCGCAATCGACTGCTCGATGCTCCGCATATTGGCGCTGCAGTTCATATTCACTCATTTACCCAGCACCAGGATCCGCCTGATGATATAGATCACGAGCGCCGAAAGCCTTGGCATATCTATCCGATGATCTCGCTCGTGAACATGTCTATACTCGGAAACTCCAGCCACCTCAACAATAACGACAAGTACTACTCCACGACCATAGGCCTGGACATCTGGGTCGCAATCATGGTGTGCCCTTGGCGACTATCTTGAAGGCCCTCTCCCTCCTGTCCCTCTCCTGTTGCTGGTTCCGGACGACGTCTGCCTTACGGTCCTGTACGAGTACGTCTCATCGAAGGTCCACATGCTCTTCATCGTCCCGTTATACTTTATGGGACGTCCCCCATGACAGGGCCAAGAGCTTGTAGGTCGCAGGCTGGGGAAAGGCCCAACGCCCAGAACATCGATACAGATATGAAGACATACTTAACATGAATATCTCATGATGCTGGAGCAGATGGCGCACGTCATTAGAGTCGGTGGCGTGGGGATGAGCACGATGGGCTGATACAGATGGACCTATTGTGCTTGGGGAGATGATGATGATAGCACACACGTCGATACACAACAGGCACACCTTCCTCGCTCAGACACAAGACCTCCATCTCGTACGAGAGGGTGCCCGAGAACCTGAACGCGATCTCCGGCCACCTCGAGGACACGATGCAGGGTATGTCTTCGGACACGAACAAGAATCCGAACGTGAGATACAATGAGGTGACATTTGCGAGGGTGCACGATCATATTCATGGGAGTGTTGTTGCCTACGCAGATGGTGACAATCGTGCTTATGTTCAAGATCTTCTCCTTGTGTATATGCTGGGGTCAGCGCGTGCCAGACGGTCACGCTTGCGGACCCGCTCAGCTCTGTGGCCATCTACGCGTCCCATATATCGGCCTTCTACGTCAATAGAATCGCAAGGAAGAAGGGAATCTTACTCAAAGAGTGCGGATACCTAGAGGCGCGAAGCTCTGAGATGGCATCGTAAGAATCATGCAGAACGCCAGGTTCATATACGTGTCCGAGTAAGGGAAGTGCCCCATGCGCAAAGTGAAGCCCGGGGACGTCGTCGTGGCCAGGATGTGCCCGTTGCGAGGTACCTCGTCCTCCCGAGGTCGAAAGGAAACCCTAGATAGCGCGGGATGATGAAATGATGGCGATGGTTTGGCGTCATATGACTATTACCGCGGCTCCCACTTCTGCTTTTCGCTAACTCTTCGTTTAGTCCTCAGTCAAATCTCACAGCATTAGCTGTGGATAGGTCGGCCACCCTTCTCCCCGGAAAGATAGCGTTGGCGGAATCATTGCGGCACCGCTTGTTTCTGTCCTACATACATTTCATGGAGTCGCCGGAGCTGCCCACTCCCAGAAGATACTCGAGATGGAGCGTAAGAAGAGAATGGAGACTCCGGCCGGATGGCGAGTGACAGACACTAGAGTGAAAAGAAATCGAAGCATGTGTACGAGCGGAAAACCAACCCCGGTACGGGATTCGATACTGGTCTAATGCTGGTATAGCTTCCTGCGGTAGATTTACCGGCCGCACAATTCCAATTAGTCGGCCGCAGGTGCTCAAGGGCTTCATATCGAACTGAAGTGCACGAAGATACTCACTTGGACTGCTCGTTCGACGGAAGAAGCCACTCGTTGACCTCGTCGTCCCAGTTCATCTTGTCGACCGACGACGGGAACGTGGTTCTCTCGAGCCTATGATACTTGTCTGCGAGAGTGTTGGCGTATCAGCCAAGCGAGGACACTTCATCTCCGACACTCGAACTGAAGCTGCGAAGACATCATCTGACGAGGACGCAAGACAATCCTTCAAGTTGGTCTCCAACCATCCGAGGCCAGCACTAGTTGCCAGCCTTTATCCATACGAGTCCAGAAGGCTCTCGACAGGTGTGAGCGAGCCGATGGTGACAGCTCCTTCGGGGGACCAAGACGAGGTTTGAACCGCCGGCACATGGGAAGCCTCCAGCGGAAGACGAAAAAAAATCCAGGGTTTCCCTCGAAATAGTTACGGAACTGACCAACAGAAACTCGAATTAAAACCTCCTCTGTCGGAACAAAAGACAGATTGCGAGGACGTGTCATAGGGTCGCACTTTAGCCTTAATTCGGGGGCGGTAGCTGGCGAGAGGGGGCGGAGGGGGCTCTCAGCAGCGCTACAGAAGGCATGCACAAAGCAGAAAGGCTGGCGAGGACAAGGCAGTGCTCGAACCTCTTAGTAGGACCCGTGACTACCTTGATGCCCTCCCAAACACAAGAGCCACGGCACAACCCGCACGGAGTATGACATTCCAAGGGCTCCTGAGAACGGCAGGTGGAGCGAGCAACCACGTGCGTTGGGAAAAATACTGATTTGTCTGACAGCCGGCTTTCGGCAGGCTGGCCAATCAGCAGCCGTGTCTGGGATGCCGCGGCATAGCGTGTTTTTGACTGACAGAGTCTGTATCTGGATTTGTTAGTCATCCTGACATCATTCAGAACCGCCAGCACCGGACAATAAGGAGAAAGGAGAAAGGACAAAGACACACACACAAAACCAAAAGTGGCTTCCTGTGCATCTGTCTGTCCACGGTCGTTAGAATGATCACAGTGATTGATTAACTGATATGAACCAGTGCGAAAAGGTCTTGTTAGGAAGGTCAAAGCCTACCGGAGAGGATCTGTCTTTATGGAGGGAGAGGGAGAAGACGTTATGATTATCAGACCAATAGAAGGGAGTAAGTTCTGTCAGCCAGGAGTCGCATACTGCAAGGAAAAATTAAGCTCCGCGAATCTCAGTTTGCTTTCGTCTTGGCGTCATAGTCTTCAGTGGTTGAACGCGCTTCGTAATTCTTCTCCTCACACAGACGTGCGTGATCTTTCGACCAAGATCAACCTTCACGAACACGACGCTCAGAGTCCTTCAGCAACAGGTACATCGGACCGAGTCTTTCATGGAAGTATTGAGAGAAACTCCTACTTCGGTTCGAAAAGCAAGCCACATTTGCAGACTCTGCCTGTCTGTTGAGTGACGCCGTGGAAAGCAAGAGCTGGGACCAGACCATCGAGATACCCTTCAACATCCAAGTCCTTGGAGACGGGATTGATCAGCTCCGCCTCAGCCGCTCTACTTCCAGCATCTCACATTGGACATAAATTTCAAGTCATGAATGGCCGAGCAAGTGATCCGCTCCCACCCAGTCCTGAGGAGTCCTCCGCTGTCCTCCACGCCTCCCGACGCCAATGGACCTCACTCCTCATCCGTGCCCTTTCCGCTCAAAGCTTTCCTTCGTCTTGCCTCAATCTCAGCAGCCTCCTCCACCAAACACCAGCTCTCCCAAGCCGCGCAAAAATCGAAGAGCTAGTCAGTGACACCTCAACATATCTCGAGGGATTCTCGGTCTGGGGCCTTGACGCGCCTCTGTGTGATCTCGGCGGAAATATCAAGAAATCAGCACTGCAGAAAATCATTATCGGATCTGTTCGCCCAACCTTTTGCCACTTCTCAAACGAATTACCTTCGGAGTGGTCGGGCATTGAGGGATGTCATTGCACTAGCGGGAACGGAAACTACTTGTTCGCCTTTGTTTTGGGCTGGGCTTACGTGCTTTCCGCACGGCTGATCGAGCTGCGAAAAGAGTCAGAGCAAGACCATATCAGCTACACTGAAGAGAAGGCCACATGCGATACCACTGCGACTCTGAGCAATAGCGACAGTGGAGTCTTCATATCTATTGGCGAAGCAGATGTTGGCGAGTGTCGATGGTGGGCTGCCGTCCTAGCCAAAGGGTGTGGATGGCGCGCTGCTCTCAAACGTTCTGGTCGAGACTTTTATCCCATGTGGTCATGCCATCTAGCGAGTGGTTCTCCGCGAATCCAGATCCGCCATGGTCAACTGAGGAGCTCTTCGCCTACGGCTTCCCACCCTCCAGCCTCGGAACAGGCGCAGCACTATCTCTGCAAATTCACCAAACTCCATAACGCACATGACCAGCTCTTGGCCGCATTTGTTGCTGCACTGACAATACCCGAGCAAGGAAGATTCGGTGCTCCCATCACCCTTCCTTGGCCAATTCTACGCACGCAAGCCGTCGGCACACCAGTAGTCCAAACGATCATTCACCATTGCTCAGACTTTTGTCAGGCAAAGAAAACCTACCACATTTCATGGCATACAGCTGTGTCCCAAATACAGCAGCATCTTGCATGCTTGGTTGCCTTTGGGAATCCAGCGTGACTTGCAACCTTGCCGGTGAATGGCTACTCCCACCTGTGGAAGAAATTGTTCCAAGTCTGCTGAAGGAGCGGCGATACGATGTTATCGTCCGCATGATGGCCCATCGTCGGCCGAACTCTGCACCACTCTGGCTAGGGTCCACAATCACCGGCCTACTGCCCAGGTTGTTTGAGATTGCTGGGAATTATCTGCCAACAATATCGCTTGAATCCACTCAATGGACCCAGTCTCCTCAGTCATTCATGGATCCTCAGTACCACGGGAAGGTGCAGTGTTTGGAGGACAGCGACGGTTGCAAGCTGATTCGCCGCGCGGAAGAGTTTCGCCTGATGTACCTAACTGACATTGAATCGAGCCAATATGGACCACCACCATTATGTCCCTGGAAGCCTCTCGGGACAACGGCTCTCAAAAGTGCTACAATCGAGGTTCAGAGTCACGCTCTTTGTGGACATCGTTTGACATACAACCACTGGGTTTGGCAAGGAAATGGGCACGGGCACGTAATCGATGCAGGAATCACAGTCAAACAAGCCAGATCCCTGGCACCAGGATTCAATCTTCGAATTTCATATTTACTGTATCGACTCCGACTAAGAACATGGTCGCACTCAGCGTTTAACAATGGCAGACCATCCATGGCACTAGTTGCAGCTTCTCGTGGTGAGAATTTGTCTCGGTTGGCTACTCGGAATTTGTTCAACTGGACATTGCGGGACGGAACCAAGCCTGAAGAATCTGCAATCTGGACCCATGAATGGCTCGAGGGCCTGATCGATGCTCTGGATGACGAGGACGACGAGGATGACACACTGGGACATGATACTTTAGATTGATCGGTGGTGGAACTATATCAATTCTCCTGCAAAGTTGATTCCTCCTCAACCATGATCAACCTGATCGCCAGTACAGGCGCCACGAGGAGGCCCACTAAGTTTAGTGGTTTGCTGCATTGTTTCTGATCCAGCCATTCGGCGCTGTCCCCGATGGTCCACAGGCCGGATGCTCCCAGCACTCACCACAGAGCCTCCAGTTTCCCCCTGCCTGGCAGGTTTCCAGCATCCAGAAGCAGTGCACTTCTGGTATGTATGCTGAATATTGAGATGGTGGCATATCTAGCAGAAGTCTTTGCGGCCAGACGATAACGAGCGCTTAGAAAACGTCAGATAGCAATCAAAGCTCGATTTCCATGAAGCACTCACCATCTCAGGTAACGCGGTGTTCCTCTGGTTCCTGGTCGTAGTCAATTAAATCGGAGAATGTGAGCAGTCTTTTCATCCAAGCGCAAGAATAGTCAAGCACTAAGTGGCAGGATACGGCGACCTATTCTGCTATTTTTGTCAACAACAGATCATACCGACGTGGTGTCAGCTAATCTCTTGGTGATACGTTGTTGGCTCACTTGCCGTTGACAAGATTTGATAATGATCAACGCAAGCTTTGAGTGACAGAGGGGGTGACATCTTCGAACGCTGGTGAATGTCCCATCTGAAGACAAGTTACTGGGCTCTTTCTATCACCCAGGGAGTTTAAGGTCTTTTGCAACGACGCACAAACGGTACCGAATCGGGAGTCTTATACCTCTTCGGAATGAAGTCGAGACACAGGAGGTAGCGGTCACGTGCAGGTACGTTGTTATCTCTGTCGACATTTCGAAAGTGAACCCTGACGGTGACAGCGGAACATCTGAGAACCAGTTGGCCGATCTCAGGCAGAGTCCCACAGCATCCGTCCTCGATACGAGAAGGAACAATGGCAAACAACGGATGCCTTGAAAACGGCGACGATAGTGTCAATATATAGCAGAATTAGTGCGAAGACATCGATAGCGTTTATGCCAGCACAAAGGAATACTTAGTCATGACACAAAAGCAGTAACCCGGGCCTTCCTGCTCTACACTATAGGATGGAGGCGACACCGAACCGCATATCGACCATACCGACAACGACAGAACCAACAGAGACCACGCTCCGCAACCATGTCTACCTTGCTTATCCTTCCCAGGAAGTGCGGGAGGAAACTGCCGGCTGGCATCATGCGAGGAACGACGACAGCGACGACGATTGCGGTATTGCTCCCTGGTTGCCAGCTGAATTCGACATGTCTAGAACCAAGGACACCTCAGCACAAGGCAAAGCATGTTGCCTGTCAAGATCCTTTCCAGTATTGTGTATTTGAAGCCAAGATTGAGCTGGTGATTAAACAACCAGAACGTTGGAAATCCGACCGATAGGCCCAGTTTCCGAATACATGATCGACCGAATGAGGGTTCCGCACGCTCAGGATGCTCAGTGTCCAGTGTGCAGCTTTCCACATGAAAGTCTCTTCCAGTACTCTGATCCATCCAGGTCACAGAAGGTCACATCGTCAATTCCACGAAGCTCAAACCAACGAATACACCGGCAAGGCTCCAGGCGACCCCCCGTCAATCCTTTCAACAATCGCTACATTCAACGCTAGAAGGATCACTGTCGAGGGCATCTATGCACGATAACGTTTAGATAACTGCAAAATCAGCAGCTAGGAAGCTCGTCAGTAGTCATGTACGAGGTCTGTTCTGTTCAAGAAGTGCGAAATTGGGTCATCCAGCGAGAGCTCAAGTCGAACTAAACGGTGCCGGTCATTCACGATTACACTTTAGCGGAAATCAATGTTCTTTGCTCACTCTCGTGTTTCCCATGAGAACCGAAACGCAAGAGGTATCGGCGATTTGCAGAACCATTTGCACCTTGTTCGCGTCACAGTCATCTCCATCCCATCGCTTACTTGCCTCAAGCGGGTCCGACAGAGATCCACGTCGCACCAGTCGGACTGTTACCAATCCTCATGTCTCAAAAGGACCAACCAGATGGGCGATGAAGACGCCCAGACATCAGGGACGTCCATTTCCGGAGCCAGACGGGGCAGGTACAGGTCGCTCAATTAACTCGTACTGCAAGATACTTATTTCCAAGTCAACTGCCCTCCACGATCTAACAAGAAGATGTTCGGCTGAAACTCCTGTGACTGGCGAAATTTGGATGTGCAGCGGCAATATGTGACAGGGATGGGTGAAGACTGAGGTCGGCCAAACTGGTCAGGAACGACGTGTTGGTTGATGCATCCGCGGTGATATCGTCCTTGCGAGTGCTTGCCTTCCCGAAGGGTAGTGTCGAAGCTCGGTTCGTCTCATTCGACCACTCCTGTGATTGGTGTATCTTTCTGGAGCGCGTAGAGCACCAGGACGGGGAAACGCCTGTTCAGAATTCTCGATAGTGTTCAACTGGGATCATTCTTCAGCATCGAGATTCACCTCGAATCCCTCAGCCACGCCGGTGAGGAGAGCCAGAAATAGACATCGCTTCTGTGGTATCATGCTCAAGCCGAACCATCACAAAAAGAAGAAGAAATAGACTCGTTACAGGTCTCAATTCGCTCCGCATTCTACACAGACTTTGATATTCTTCCGCATCGACGTCAATGGAGAGAACGACAGACATTACGAACGAGCAGGAGCAGGGCCGTAGCAGCTTCACCGAATCCCAAAGTGCCTTCGCAACCCAAGCACTGCTAATCGCGAATGGGGCTAGAGGGGTTTGGATCCCGCCTCGCCCGGGAATGGAGACCCCAGTCCACAAGAGCTAGTATTCGCCATGATACCCCCGTGGGCTTGAACTTTCTTTCAGCCCTGTCCTGCATACATGATGGATAATCTATGCGAACGTGACGACAAACTTTCCCAGTCCACCGTGACCATCGTACGTGTGTTGACAGCCTCGACGAACGGCCTCGATATCATCGAATCGGGCTTCCGTTGTCACTGCCTTGACGAGACCCGCGTTGATGACTTCACCCGCTCGTTCCAGCTTCTGCCTGTCCCACGGCTTGCTCATGATCATCTCGTAGTGGACCGAAGTGCCCACGAGCCTCCACAGATACCACCACTGCAGGAGGTCCGCCAGCCAGCCGATGACACGCGGCAGGTGGGGAAACACGGGTTTCAGGGAGCGGCTGTTTGGGATCCCGGAGGCAGTGATGAAGACGCCGGATGTCGGATTGACAAGCGGGAAGAGGTGTGTGAATCCCCAGGGGGCATTGTAGACGACGTCAACCGAGCCTCGGGGCACCACCTTCAGGATGTCCTGCGTCTTGTAGTCGATGACCTTGTCGACGATGCCCGGTGTGTAGGTCTCGACGAGCGGGACTTTGGGCGTCGAGACGGTCGTGAGGACCTTGCCCGCGCCGTAGACGTTCTTTGCCAGTTGAGTGCCGACCGAGCCGAGCGCACCCAGTCCGGCCGTCACAAGCACCGTCTTCCCCTCGATGGTCTCGCCCTCGGGCATGTGTCTCAGGGCCGTCTCGAACGCCTCGATCCCGGGCATGGTGGATCCCAACAGGGACGCCGCTTCGACGAACGTCATGTTTGCCGGTTTGCGAATCACAAACTTCTCGGACGCGAGGGCGTACTCGGAGATGAATCCGATATGTTCAAAGTCTGCACTCTCCGTCAGCCCGCGTATTCAGTGCCCCAAAACCTCTGGGGGGTGCAAGTACTGCTCGCCGGGTCCGATTCCAACATATACACCTCATCCCCCGGCTTCACAGTCTCGACGGCCGACCCGACTTGGACGACGACGCCCGCACCTTCGACGCCCAACTTGATCGGAAAGCTGGAGGAGGTAATCAGACAGATTGTCTCATTCTCATCGTTGTCCATCGCTGCCTCCTGAAGATGAAGAAAAGGCAGGACTACCTGAATGATTGGAAGAACCTGACCGCCCCACTGGCGACCTGCGTGTCGCCAGGATTGACGCACGCGGCGCGCATCCGGACCAGCACCTCGTGTGGCTTCTTGAGTTCGGGCACGGGGAGCTCGACCACCTCGTATCCCGCTGGGGTGCAATAGTGTGGCGCGACGAGCGACTTCATTGTTCGGGGGACGTCGACGCTTGAATCTGCCATTTTGGGTCGTGCGGCTAGTCCGACAAGGCGAATTCGACAGAAGATCTACTCCAGAGTTACATGGAGTGTGACGGGAGGTGGAAGAGTGATGGTCTTTGTGTAGTTGTCTCAAGGTTCACCAAGACTCTGCTACCTGCCGCCCAGGCTCCAGCCAAAAATGAACCCCGAAACAACCCGAAACAGCCGAGGTTGCGCCGACCGCTCGTCGGGATTTGGAAGGGACCGACCGCTTTGTCCGCTAGTGCAAACCTTAATTGTACCACCAAGACACGACCGCGAACGTACTTTTCTGCCGCATGAGCAGCGACGCTTCCTTTGTCCGGTCCCGGCGTAGGCTGTATGATATCAGATACTAACTCGGTCCTCACTTTAGATGAATCAAGGTGCTCGCCAAACCTCTGAGATCCCTTGTCGTTACCGTCTGCAGCACATTCTAACCAGGCACACGTACGTCGCAGGTCTCGTGATCAGCCTGGCCACGTACGTACAAGATATATTGTGCAGTTAGGGATTGAAGTAGTTGTACATTTACACATGTACAAGCTGACTGCGCAGGCAGGAATTGAGTACCTTGGAGGTTGAATTTCCGGTGCTAAATTGGGTGTCTTGCAAGTACAATGACCAGCGATCCTGTGAGAAAAGTCCCGTGAAAGCATCATCACCGTGCATGGGCCATGTCCGGGAATGCGGTACGAAGGACCATCACGGGCCAATATAGCCAAATTCACGGTGCAAGTAGCGGTCACGGAGTCAACTCCCGGAGGCGGGGGACAAGAAAAGAGAACTATTGAACGGTGAAAGCGACAAGGGATCGTTCAGGCGTCCAATCCGACTCCCATTGTTTCTGAAAGATGACGCTTAAGAACCTGTAAAGGCTCATTTGCTGCTTTGTATCCTGTGGGTGATTTGCCTGAGACGTCATCTTGCCGCTGATGAACAGAAACCTACAGAGTTTTGGTAGATTTGCGGTCAATGATTAAGACCTGCGTTGACGAGATCTGATGCATTGGATGCCAGGTGCAGATATCTGTGACAGAATTCAGGAGAGAACTCTCTGTCGCCGCTACTGTTTGAATGTCAAGGATTAGGACAAAGGTCTGAGACAAGGCTGCGGCCACCGATGGACAAATCGATCCAGGACTCTTTTTGTCCATCCACTGCTCGTTCAGTTGTAGTTACAGCGACCGGACTGTTACGGGCTGCACGGGCTGCACTGGCGACAGAGAATGCTTTGCCGGGACCGACACGTTTTAACTTGTGGGAATATTCACGCGGCTAACGTTTCACGGCAAACGAGTGGGATTGAGACTCTTCACTTACCTATCCGTGATTGTAGGCCGCGATAAAGGCAGCGATGTTGCCTCCGGTAGCGTGTCTGTATATATTCTCACCATCTGTCTCTGTAGAAGTTGGATACTTTCAACCCTTGTTCTGAGTTCAGTTCACAGCTTTGACGAAAAGCTGACGAATTTGCCAGCTTTGCAATGCGTTTTCACAATTTTAAATTCCTTGGAGTTGCCAGTGCCCCAGTGCTAGCAACCATCAGCTCGATGAGTTCACAGATAGAGGCAGCCGACGACGACGACATAGTCACCCCGGCTGACACTACAGACCAGCAGCACCGTCCGATCCCTGCTCTGCTCCGTCTTCCCAATGAACTACTCCTCGCAGCCACTGACTTTCTCGAGCCAGAGTCCCAGCTCCTCCTCAGTCTCTCGTGCCAACGACTCCATGGTCTCATCAACGCCAACTTTGACTTGACGCTCGACGACAAAGCCGAAAAGATACGGTTCCTGCAGCTTCTGGAGCGCGGCCATCCGGAGTACCTGACATGCCGATCCTGCGCGAAGCTATTCCTCTGGCGTGGGAGGAAACCCTTCAACTATGCCTGCCCACATTCAGACCGCCACTCAGACGAGGATACACGTCTATCACACCCCCAGACCATCAGAGCAGGAGACAATCGTGCCATGGCCATCACGCGCGAGGTGGTCGACTTGGCCTTGCGAGACGACGGCTTACCGATCACGTTCTTCAAGATGAGCGGGGTTGGTCAGTCCGGTGTTTTCCAAAAGACCGCGGCGCGACTGGTAGACGGTCAACTTTTCGTGGCCACTCGACTGGAGGTAGAAATGTTCTCCCCAAAAGAGATTGTGGACACGAGGATCTTGTTGGGCAGAAACTCGTGCTACCATCGAGGTGCCGCTCGTCAAGTGGTGAACATGTTTGAATATGCCGTCACATCCGAGCTGCCACTCCCCGGTCATGTTCACATGTGAGCTCTGCGAGACGGACCATCATTTAGGTCTGACCAAGGGGGAAAGGAGCATGAACGTCGTCCTTCAGGTCTTGAGAAACTATGGTCGCAGACAGGAGACGAGACCAATGGTTGACCAGATCTTTCATCGAGATCCAGAGTCCAAGCGTCCTGCCCATGAAAAATGGGAGAAGGTCACCTGGGCACTCTGGGACGCACTTGGTCCGACATGGCGTGAGGACTTTGTGTTGTGGCTTGATGATGGTCCAGTGACAGGCCCGTGACTCGAAAATTCCGTGTGGAGAACCCTTGCTAACGTGATGAACAAGCGAGTTTTGTGGAGCATTGTCCGACAAAAGGGAATGTCTCTACTGGAGGTGAAGGTGGGAGGCTTTGTTTCATTGGTGGGCTTGCCCTTCGACGCCGTTAACACAAGCGCGATTGAATTAGTCCAAGTTTTCTGGGGTCTTTCGATCGAACTTCAGCACAAGCACTTGTCGAAATGAGGGAATGTCGTGTATCGAGCGAGGCTTGAGAGAGCGTTGAGGAGTAGTAATCACAAACGAAGCCCTTGTCATTACAATTCCGGAATTTGGGGGAGTGTGAAGAGGACAAAGAATCTCCCCTCCCTTCGTTCCGTTTGCGGCGTCGAGGTGGCCTCCACACGCCTCTTTGTTCAAAGCATGCCGATCGTTTGTCGAGGGGTTCAAAATATTACAATAGATAGAACAGACAATGCACACTTTGAGCTCGAATTCGGTCCGTCCAACGAGGACATGTCACAATCGATCCCTTGATCTACCAACATCTCCTAGTGCCCAGGTGGATGTCTAACTATTGTCACCACTGTCGCCGCCCTTGACGAGGAATGCATCTCCTCCTTCCTCGGTACGACGATCGAGAACAGTCCTCGATCCAGAGACTGATACCTCTGACGGACCAAGCCATCGCCTTGGCCCAACTCGGCGACCACGGAGCGGCGGAGGAGCTATATCGACGCGCTCTCCGCCTCAGCAGGAATCTCCTGGGCCACCGCCACCGAGCCACCCTAACCAGCATGAACAACCTGGCCACATCGCTCAGCAAGCAGGGGAAACTGCGCGAAGGCGAACGACTGCACCGCGAGGAGCTGGAGCTGACGGTCGACCTCCTGGGCGAGCACCACCCGGATACGTGGACCAGCATGGGTAATCTGGCGGCCGTGCTGGTGGACCGGGAAAAGTACGGCGAGGCGAAGCGGGTCATGGGCCGGGTCGTCGAGATCAAGAGGGAAGAGCTGGGGGAGGATGATCCGTCGACGCTGTCCAGTCTCGAGATTTTGGAGTGGCTTTTGGAGAATCGGTGACAGGACTGGGACTGGATAGGGATTTCTTGTTTTGAAAGGAGAAGTGGTGCTGGTCATGGAGTTAGACGTAGACTCTGAAGCAAGTTTGAATGCCCCCCCTCGATTTGGACCTTGACCTTGATCTCAGCCACGTGAGCGATGATTAAACCTGCCTTCTTGTATGGTGATTAATCGAATAGAACGGACAAACCCTAAACCAATTCAATGTCCTGCTGCAGTAGGTGGTAGGTGTTAGTATACGAGAGGGGGAAAGCAACATATCCTCTCCACATTCTCTCATTTTCACCGTACCGCCATTCCCTGCTGTCTGAGCGGGATCCTATCGTGAGGCAGTATATCTGAGCGAGAATATCCTCATGGACGAGTCGCGGTTCTTCGTTCTGCTGGAGCTTGTTCCCGTCTTGCGTGAAGCAGGCGCAGGTCATCCGCTCAAACCATCAGAAACCTGATGCCACCATCCCCGACAGCGAAGAAGGAGAAAACCATTCGCTCACACCTACCGGAATTTACCCACGCGCGGGATCTCGGAAAACTCACAGTTTTTCGGAATTTACCCATTTTCGATGATGGGGTCCGGCACGCGCGTCAATCAGACGTGTTGCCCCATGTGAGCATATAAAGTCGAGTGAGGCAGTGCGTTTCGCCGAGTGGGAAACTAGACGTCAAAGTGTGGCGCAGACTCCCAATGACACAGTCTTTCGCCCTGCACTGACGAAACAGAAAGGTATCACCGTCATTTGATGGTGCCGCATCTCTCCGGTCCGGCATCACTGATGCACAGCCCGTCGAGCAGCTCTGATACAACCATGATTGACACGGGATATCTTCTGCCGGCTAGTGACTCTGAGACGGAACTATCCAAGTAAAGCAAGATCCAAGTCAAATACGTGCGGAATTATCTGAAAGCACGCTCCATGTCGGTTGGGGAAACAAGATCCTTGTGGCTCGTGTGAGACTCTCCGTGGCTTGTTCGCAATTTGCCGCCTCGCTGTCCATGTTTCCAGAGATTCGGGCTTTCGAGAGTTATCTTGGCATTGACTGGGTACTGCCCGTATCTGTGGGGGAATGAAAAAAAAAGGTGAGAACAAGAAGGGTCTCTGTGGCACTTTCCGTGTAACGATACTCTGCTGGTTCTTCCAATGAGGCGTACAACCTCAGCGCCCGTTACATAACTTCTGCTTAAGAGTCATCGCCAGCCTCTTCCCAGAGAAAGAGTAGGCTGGTGGTTGGGTGGTGTATTGGACAGCAAGAACCTGCTATTCGAGCGGGTAGTCCGCTGTCTGTGATTGTCAACGATTCCGGTTCGCAGGGGGCACAGTCATGTATCAGTTCCGTGACCGCGTCCACGGCTGCGGCCACTACGACAGGTCCTTGTCGTTTGTAAGCCATAGCGCGAAATCGAAGAAACTTTTGTGCAACACTGGAATAACTGCCGATGTGTCCACGACAGGATTTAGCCGGCTGTGACATCAACGGGTGCGACAAAATGCCATTCTCTGCAGCGTGAGGGTCCAGGGCAGTGTGTTGGTTCCATTGAAATGCCGGACAAGTGACATGCAGGCCACAGACGCAATGGAGGGTTCCACGAGGATGGAGTTGACTGGAATCAAGTGTAGTAGGAAACAAGAGGCCCAGAAACACTAATGAGAAATTTCCACTGTAAAGGGCGGCAGACAATCTATTGATGACAATATAACATACAGGGTGTGAGTGAGGATACCGTGTGGATGTCGAGTATAGGTATGCATCACACTCAAGATCGGTCATTAAAGCGTGTCTCTCCAGCTCAGAAATAATCGAACTAGGATCCGGGCGTAGTTTGGGGGGGATTCACACATGGGTGGTTGCTGCAATCTCTCGCAGCCATTGTGACCCTGGGTATCTCTCCGCAATCGTCAACATCGTTTTACCATACGCCCAGATGTCGCTCAGCTTCTCAGCTTTGAGCGAAGCCTGCAATGCTTTGAAACGGATCTCCGGTGCACGCCATCCGTACGTGACTCCGTCAATGCCGCTTATATCAATGAGGACTGCGCTCCTGCAGTCATCAACCACGATGTTGCCGGGCTTGAGATCCGTGTGGGCAATACTTCTTGAATGCAAACTTTGCAGAGCCTGGCAGATTTGAAGGGGCCAACGCTGCCAGTGCAGATTGGCGACTCTGTTCTTTTTCAGCCATTCTTCAAGAGTCCCTCCGGGATAATATGACACGAGAATACCTCTCATCACAGGTCGACCGTCTGTGGAGGGGATTGTCTGGTACGGATCGGGTGACGCCGCAACAGCTGAGAGCTGGGCAATACAAGGAGTGGAGCGGAAACGCTCGAGATTCTCCAACTCGCGTTGAATGACTGCGGTGTCTTGACGTCGACAGAATGGCCTGCCAAATGCCTTGAGTATGTAGGAAGCTCGCTCACCCCGTCTACGAAAGCGGCCGACGGCACCGGTAATGTCTTCCTCGATCTCTAACTCTGAGAGCTACATTGTTGGTGGCCATTTTGAATCGCTGGAATACAATGGATAGAGGATTCCCTTAGCGTCTTCGTAGGTTGTCACGCGCAGTCTGCGATACTCTTTGAAAAATCTATTTCCTCGAGTGTCCTGGGTATCACTTTGAAGCAGAAGGTCTGTGATTGCCCGATCCGGGAATGCTGACTCTGTAGGCACAAGCTTCAATTCGACCTCGGTCACAGTATCGTCCAGAAGCTGAGCCTGCCGAGTTGGAGACGGGAGACAAAATATCGGAGTTCATCTCGTCGTCTGAGTTGGTGCTTGATCGGTTCTTACGAGAAGCGACTTGACTTTTCTTCTGCATCCCCTTTCGAGATGGAGGCAACGGTGACATGCCAGCGCGAGTTTTGACAGCTGAATATCACGCGTTGTGGCCGGATGGGTGGTTCAGGGTCTCCGGTGCATATCAATGTCTGATCTTCGGTGTACGAGTGCAGCATTGCGAAGCATTGTCGGGAGAAGAGATGGAAAAGGAGGGTATTTAATGTGTGGTCAACAGAAGGATTGCCGAACCGTAGTTTACGCGCCACCGTATGGGTCAGTCGTTGACAAATATGATTCACCGTAGTGACCACGGGGAGCGGAGTGAATACCATTTTGAGCAGCAACCGCACTCTCACCAGGTCCAGTCACATGACAGACTATGTGACGTAATCCGCCAAGACCCCGGCCAAAGTCAACGTCTCCCCTTTTCGAAAGGCCTCCTCATTCAAGATCGTCCCCATCTCCACTAGCTGTCATTCATCAACCAGAAACTTATGACTGCAGACGTTTGTGCTTCCTGTATTGTGGAAGATGACCCCGCCTTACCCGCCGTTTCAACCTCCGGCCTGAAGTGGCTTGGGATTGGAGTCTCGGGCATCGTATACCCTCTCGACGAAGACACTGTCGTCAAGGTCGCTCCGACATGGGATAGCGATTACGCCACCAACGAAAGTCTTGATGATCTTCAGATAGAGAGGCTTGTCTATCAGCATCTGGGGACTCATCCCCGAATATGTCGATATATCTCATCTGTTCACCGAGGAATCGTTCTCGAGAGGTTTGGCGATCCGCTGCGAAAACGGCTAGTAGAGCTTCATGGGCGAAATGAGTCTCCGTCACACACTCAGGCTCTGAAATGGTCAACGCAAGCGGCAGAAGGCCTGGCGTACCTACACCGGAAAAAAGTCGTGCAAGGTGATATTGGCTGCCACAATATACTTTTGAAATCCGACGAGGTCAAGTTGTGCGATTTTGGCGGCTCCTCGATTCACGGGAAACCAGCCAAAGTCGGTTACGAATGCCGATCTCAACGTTGGGACGATACTCATGAAAATCCGTCTATTCGAGCCGAGCTATTCGCACTCGGCTCCACCATCTACGAAATCTGGACGACCACAAGGCCTTTTCAAGACGACCCCGACGACATGGTCGAGGAGAAATACAAATGCCGGCGCTTTCCGGACGTCGATGCCCTTCCAGTAGCCGGCATCATCAAAGGGTGCTGGTATGGAACTTATGATTCTGCAGATGAGGTTGTCACCGCCCTCAAATCACTCCAGACCGAACGAACGGTGGCCCCCAACTTTACCAATGTCAACAATTGGACAATATTTGCTACCTTTACCTGCGTCGTCACAGCCTGCACTCTAGCATTATGGCTCAAGCCACATGCAGCTGTAGGCACTCTTCGAAAGAATCGGTTTCCATGGTATTTCTGGGGACGTTAGGTCTGCTGCGGTCAGACAGCGGACTCGGAGAAACTTACCACAGTGGTTTCTGGCCGTTTGCCTTCACACACCGGACAATCCTGGTTGCGTTTTGTGGAACCAAATATAACACCCGGGAGAGGAGTAGCGTCTCGACATTGACGTTCCAGCCCTCTCGGACTCGGATTGGCGCAGATAGAATAGACTCTGTTGGTCACTCGGTGGCTGGCGGTACAACGGGAATAGACAAAGACCGTGTCAACATAGTGGCACATGACTTCGGAAATGGTAGCAGAGATAACACAGTCTGCGTGGCTCGGGCCTCAGGTTGTGTGCTCAGCGTTGGTTGTATGTGCTTCTGGGATTGACTGTTCGGACAGATAAAGTAGCAAAGGAGGTCCAAACTGACTGAGGGCTAAAGGAAGGTTCGATCCGTACCCAGAGAATGTTTCCACTGAGAATTGCCTAAGATCAGCACTAGAGGTGAGGTGCACTGGGGCAGTCAGCACAAGTCTGTGATGAAGTGATTTTCCGGGGGGAATGACTTTCTCTCACGATAGTCTGAGAACGTAGCCCCTTGTTGATCAGGTGGACCTAGTTAGGCGTCCAGCTGGTGCCGGCCATGCAGTCAATTGGTAGCACTGGTAGTACAGAGCGGACCTTGAGGGATTTTTGCTACCACTCAACAATCACGGAGAGCGGGATGGTCATCACCTTGCGGCACAATCGCCGATGGCCTCTGACAGTCTGGGACTCCTGTAGTGATCACAAGGTGTTCCGTCGGAATCAGCGAGACGTTTGGACAGCAGTCCAGTGCTTGGATATGGTTTGCTGTTCCTGTGCAACACTGACCAGGTCACCCCGACCACCCTTTGCACTGTCTGTTGCTCTGACCGACACAGCCAAGCCTCAAAGGAACAACCAAAGTAACTTGAAGGGCTTTCAGTCGTGAGACCTCCAGGGTGGTTGCCACTGTTTCAAGCACTTGGACACTCATAGACCGCTTGATAACGAGACACACCATTTCAAGTCACTCGGGAGCTCTCGCTGTGGCGACCTTGTCTATTCTGGTGCCTGCCTCTGGGGGTACCGGCGAGGTAGGTGAGCGGGAGTTTGCCATGTCAGCCCCGATACTTTTTGCTGGTCGCTGGGGTCTCCCGACGCAGCAAGGAGCAAATATTTCAGATGTTTTTCCTTTGCTTGTATCACATACTCGCGCTCACTTCTTCTCACAAAATTGTCAACAGCTTCTCAGAGGAGCCCAAAGTCTATCCAGAAGGGTTAACTTCCTCGTGATTTCTGGTCAGGGGGTAGGCAGCTGGTTTGTCCTCGTTATTTCATATTTTCAAGAAAACTAAAAGACACCGTACGTGGATCGACAAAGTCTGGAGGAGCATTGGTAAGGAAAGAAAAGGTTGAGCCTAGGAAGAGCCGAGGTAGTGATATAACAAGAAGTCGGTGATCATTCGAAGAACACACGCTCATTCTCATCGCAATTTAGTATCTCCAAAAACTTTTGGTAGTAGTAAAGTAGCTCTCTTCCAGCTGCCTCGGGGCGGCAACCGTGTCGACATCGTGCTGAACCCTGGCTTCCTGACTGTCGAGCTGAGCCTCGTCTTCCTTTGTCCGTGCGTCGTGGTCGAAGGGAAAACGACTTGATGAATCGGTCCAAGTCCTGTTGACCGTATGATTCGGAGGGTGGCTCCCGTGGCAGCGGTTTTTCCATTCAGAACACCCTGCGTGCACATTTTAGGCTGTCGAGCAACAGATGCATTCGTTGAGGAGAGACCGGACCCAGTCCTCACCGGGGTCGTGACTCTGTTTGAACTGGGAAGCTTAACTGTGTTAGGCATGTTATACCGAAACGTCGAGGAGAGAGAGAAGGGTACTACTTTTCAACATCAACCGCCCCACGTCCGTCCTTGAACTAAAACATTCAGAGCCAACCAGCACCTTCAGCAATCTTCTAACGAATACAGACTCCGAGGTCTTTCTTTCCTGCGCTGCGGAGGTGTGTTCACGACTGATGAGCTTCTTCAAATCGACGTTACAGTGAAAAATCAAGATTTGTCCAGGAGTGAATTCACCCTTTCTCTGAGTGTTTCTTGGTTTTTAAAGTCACCAGCAACGGTCCGCAGGACGCTTGCACCAAACAGCGACCACTCGAGCAGCCACCAGACATTCGATACTGGTAGAGATATCCTCTCGGATATCGGTTGGCCGCAACACCGAGCAGATACACGGGCACTTTTGCGGAGTTGCTCTTGAATATGATGTCGTTCATGTTCCTGTTCGTGCTCTCTAATGCTCATGCTCATGGTGGCGGAGGGGCTTGAGAGCTTCGACTGCGCTGGTGGATAATGCTGACGTCTCTGAAGTCGTTTCATAAGACGCTCTGGTTCGAGGTCAGGTTCACGACTGGGTTCGAATCGTGGTCTCACATCAGCGACTCGCCGTCTGTGATGCTCTGGCGTCTAGCGCCGCCCGCACTCTACTTCAAGGTCACGATACTGCCCTGGGACTATCCAGAGCTGTGCCCGCCAACGCCTTGGCGACCTTAGCCCCGACTGCGCCCACCCTCCCCCCGAGCCCGGTGCCCCAGCCGCCAAGTGGATTCTCAGCTTCTGCGTCGTCGTCCCGGGTACGTGACCATGATCTGATCATGTACATACTCAGGCGCCAGCTCCCTAGTGGTGCCCCAGCTGTCGGCCACGCCTGTGGCCTCTTGCATATTGTCCATCGCGTTCAGGTACCAGACTGCGACGACTAACCAATAGCTGTTGACGGCGCTAGGCCTATCTTGATTTTGCTAGTCCCAGATAGGTCTAGCGCAAAGCTTAATCCCACGGCCAGAAGTCACACAATGATTACGATCGACTCCTCAGTGGGCACCAAGCAGGCCATGTTGCGCCGCACGAGCAAGATGTCTCTGTCCTGTACCAGGCCAACCTGTCATAGAGCTCGTGCATGCAGTCTACACGGCCTTGAAGATGGACCCGAACTTGTTCATGGGGCCGAACGGCGGCCTCATCATGAACGTCCTCTATGTGCTCCGATCTGGGCTGCAGCAACACATCCGGTGTAGAGGAGTCAGAGACGATGCTACTCGGACCGGGTTTCTTGTACTGCACCAAGCACGTCCCGATGAGCGAGAACAACGAGAGGACTGCTTTCTTCGACCTGAACCTCAACATACGCATGTGTGTGTGTAGTTGGTTTTGTTTTCCTTCTGCGAGGAATTCATTTTTTTAGCCTCTTTCGTGCTATCGGTCTCGTCTTGAGTGCTGCCTAAAGA